GGCTGGACTCAAACTCTGCTCAAGCAATCCTTCTGCATCAGGCTTCCAAGTAGCTGGGACTATAGGCTCATATCACCATGCCTGGCTTATAGCTTTTTGTATATGGGTCTTTTGTTCACATTTTGTTAAATACAGTCCTAATTATTTTAACGTTTGTGAGGCTATTGTATAAATGGTATATTTCACATTTTCATTTCCCAATAGTTTATTGTCAATATGTAAAAATACAATTGATTTTTGTATATTGACTTTGTAATTTATGATTTTTATAAGTTTTCTTATTTTAGTAGTTTTGTGTATTTCTTAGGATTACACACAAATATAATTGCGTCCTCTGCAAAAATAGTTTTACTTCCCTCTTTCCAATCTGTTTGTTTCTCCTTCCCTTTCTTTTGTTTCCTTTCTTCTTTCTTTCTTCCTCCCTCTCTTTCTTTTTTCTTCCTTTCTTATTACATCTTTTTATTTCCATAGGTTATTGGGGAACAGGTGGTGTTTGGTTACATGAGTAAGTTCTTTAGTGGTGATCTGTGAGATTTTGGTGCACCCGTCACCCAAGCAGTATTCACTGTACCCAATTTGTGGTCTTTTATCCCTTACCCCCTTCCCACCCTTTCCTGTTGGAGTCCCCAAAGTACATTGTATCTTTCTTATGTCTTTGCATCCTCATAGCTTAACTTCCACATATGAGTGAGAATATATATATTTGGTTTTCCATTCCTGAGTTACTTCACTTAGAATAACAGTCTCCAGTCTCATCCAGGTCACTGTGAATGCCATTAATTCTTTCCTTTTTATGGCCAAGTAGTATTCCATTGTATATATATACCATGGTTTCTTTATCCACTCATTGATTGATGGGCGTTTGGGTTGGTTCCATGTTTTTACAATTGCAAATTGTGCTGTTATATCTTTTGTATATGTACAAGTATCTTTTTCATATAATGACTTCTTTTCCTCTGGGTAGATAGCCAGTAGTGGGATTGCTGAATTAAATGGTAGTTCTACTTTTAGCTCTTTAAGGAATCTTCACAGTGTTTTCCACAGTGGTTGTACTAGTTTACATTCCCACCTGCCTCAGAGGTCTCTGAAATGTCTTGGAGGCCTTGGATTTTGGCACTTGTCTCCCTTTTGGTTATGTAAGTATCTCTAGCAAGTGGTTGCTCCATAGAGACTGGTTAAATACTTGTTACCAAAAGAAAATATCTCTAGTAAGTGGTTGCTCCATAGCCTGCTTGGATTCTTCCCTTGAAAAAGCTTTTCCTTTCTTTGGCACATGGCTAGGCTGAAAAATTTCCAAACTATTATGCTCTGCTTCCTCTTTAAATATAAGTTCCAACTTTGAGTCATTCCTTTGCTCCCACATCTGAGCATATGTTGTTAGAGGCAGCCATGCCACTTCTTAAACACTTTGGTGCTCGGAAATTTCTTCTGCCAGATAACGTAGATTATCACTTTGAAATTCGAACTTCCATAGATCCCTAGGGCATGGACACAATATTGCTAAGTTCTTTGCTAAGGTATAACAAAGGTGACATTTGTTCCATTTCCCAATAAGTTTGTCATTTCCATCTGAGGTATCAGCCTGGACTTCACTGTTCATATCACTATCATCATTTTGGTCACAATATTTAACCAGTCTCTAAAAACTTCCAAATTTTCTCTCATCTTTCTCTCTTCTTCTAAGCCCTCCAAACTTTTCCAACCTCTGCCCATTACCTAGCTCCAAAGCTGCTTCCACATTTCCAGTTATCTTCATAGCAATGTCCCACTCCTTGGTACCAATTTTCTGTATTAAGCCATTCTTGTATTTCTATAAAAATACCTGAGACTGGTTAATTTATAAAGAAAAGCAGTTTAATTGGCTCATAGTTCTTCAGACTGTACAGGAAGCATAGCACTGGCATCTGCTTCTGGGGAGGTCTCAGGAAGCTTACAATCATGGTGAAAGGTGAAGCTGGAGCAGGTGTCTCACATGGTGGGAGTAGAAGCAAGAGAGAGTAGGGGAGGTGCCACACACTTTAAACAACTAGATTTTGCAGGGAAAGCACCAAGCTACGAGGGATCCACCTCCATGACCCAGACACCTCCCACCAGGCCTGACTTCCAACACTGGGGATTTTATTTCAACATGAGATTGGGGTGGGGACAAACTGTATCAACCTCTGATGTAAAAATCCAATAATCAAGCAGCAATATTTTAAGTGCAGCACGGAATCTTCCATGTCATTATTTACAAGACCTGAATCTCCTTACATAATAACAAAATTGAATACTGATGACTTAGCCATTAAGTCCATTTAAAAAATCTGTCCTTTTACATGGTGACAGATTTTACTTTTTGTTATCTTTCTCCTTCTCTTTATCTTTTGCTCTTCCTTGACTTCCTTTTCTTATGTCTGTGTTTTTTGGCTTTTTATCAATTCCCCTGCAGTACCTGCATGTATGGGTTTTTTTTTTTTTTTTTTTTTTTTTTTTTAATGTTTCTTGTGCTTTTTCTTTTTCTACTTTTTCTTCTTCTTCCTGCTATTCTAACTTTCTGCGGAACTGGGCCTACTACTGTGGCCTCAGGTTTCGCTCCCACAAGGGCTCTGACTTCTGCTTGGACTCTGGCTCCTCCTGTGCCTACCTGTCCAACTGGTGCTGTGTCCAGGCTTTCTTTTGCTTTCTCCATTATCTTTCAGTACCTTAGAAGTGTTTCCTGAAGTTTCCTCATCTTTTACAGATACATTACCTCCACTGTCACTTTCATTATAATCAGGCTTAAAAGCAGCTTCATCAGTGTCTCTAGTTCAGTCAGGGGACAGTCGAGAGGAGTGACTTAACTGGGGTTTAGGGTTGGTAGCATTCTTCTCAACTTGCTCAGTAATTTGCTCTTTCTCAATCTGTGTGTCTGGTGGATTAAGAGTATCAAGTAACTTATTGCCACTTGACTCTTTGTCATTCTTTGCTTGTAATATATGTGTCTCATGATCTTTACGAAGACTTCTACCTATAAATTTTGCCTCTTACCTTGAGTGTTTAGTATCATAAGTGGCTTTGTGATCATGAGGTTTTTTGATCTCTTGAGTGACTACAATTAACTTTTTTGGAATCTCCTCTGCCATTTTTAAGAAACTCTCTTTCCTCCATCAGCTTAATTTTCTGTTCAGATGCAGAAGCTATAGTTTGTTGGTTTTTTAATTTTTTTAAAATTTTTTCAGGTTTTGTACATACTTTTTATTTGTTGAGTAAATGAATATTTGTCAATATGTACATAACCACGTAGAGCGAGCATCAGATTTAGAGAGCAACATATTTGGGTTCTAACATGCAAAGCCACTTACCAGCTATGTGGGCTTCGGCAAAGAACTGAATCTGAGCTCAGCTTCCTCAACTGTAAAACCAGGTTATTTGGACCCATGTGGCCTACCTCATAGGCTTATTGCAAGGTTCCAATGCAGAAACATATGAAAGTGCTATGAATACAACTTAGAGCCATACAAACATAACAAGTAACAGCAATGGAATTTCAAGCTGAAATTCACACCCTCGGATCGTACTGATGTACTGATGGAGTCAACGAGAAAGTGACACAATAGCTGATTACTAAAGAGAATGAATATGCCATTTTTCTGAGTGGGAAGAATTCTGCAACATCCTGTAGCTTGTCCCTGCAATGAATCACTTCCCAAACTTCACAAAGATGTGAGAGACTCACCGTCAATAACTCTCTCACAGAAGCACAAGGGCCAAATGTCCTGCGTTTATTTACATATGAAATGTGTTCCATACAGTTATGATGGATGGAGTGCATAACACCTGACAGCAGCAAGGCCTCTTGAGGAACCGAACGCTGACTACAGTATATCATGCAAGTATCTATATATACACAAAAGAATTCCTTTTCTTAAAAAAAAATAGTACAAAACATGTTCAGGGATAAATACAAAATATAAAACGCAAAAGAAAACACAAAACAAAACCAAAAAATAGACCTCTCTCAGATAACTATACACGGAAGGGACAGAAGAGTACCTCTGCTGCATTTTAATAAAGCAGACGTTAAATGTGCTTCTTGAAATGGCTGAACTAAACCCGGGTGGCCCAGTGCTTAAGGTAACGGCCAATTACAATACACAGGCGGCTGCATGGATAAGTCGGTGGTTGAACTTGTGCATCCGACTCTAAGTACCAGAACGTTTGGCAGTAGCACCCAGAACAGGAAACACCAACTCTTTTGACAGCAAAGGGTTAAGTCAACTGATTTTTTTCTGTCAAGAGCCAGAGAAATACTTGATATTCTTAGTTGTGTTTCTGTAATAGTTAACAAATTACACGACAAAAACCTGACTACATAAATCTATTGGTCTAACTACGTATTTGTAACTTTTATAGTAGTCCAGCCCTTTCGTTACTTTCCCTTCTTGTGCTTTTAAAGCCAGCCTTGCAGATCTGCCCAGAAAACCAGTACCATTTTTTTTAGAATAGCCTTCCCCATTCCTCAAAATGGAATTGGGGAAATCAGCATTTCTTATTAGATTCCTGGCTTCAGTTTTTATCCATGCTGGGAAAGGGGCGACCTGCAAGGCTGCTTTAAACACCCTTTGGTGTGACCTGAAGACAAAGTCACGCCCACACTGGAGCGCAGTTGTCTCAAATGTGAAGTCACTCCCTCAGGGCAGGCACACGGAGGAAGTGCTAAGACACTTAAACGTTCCTAGTGTTTTCAAGACCCACAATTACTTACAATTTATGTAGTGAATTCTAAAAATTAAAAACACTAAAAAAGCCATTATTTTAGCAACATACAAAATAGTTTATCTGAATTTCGGAACGGCCCCTGTCACTAAGAACTTTGTTTTAAAGAAACAGTACAAAAAGAAAAATTCTAACCCAAAACAACTCAAATCGTTTTCCACTAAATACTGATACAAACGTGTAACAAAGAGTATAAAAAGTTATTCATTTAAATATATACAAACTCTTTTAAACTCAAATACTGTTTTAATACTTATCAAGGATATATACGACGAGGTAAAGGAAGGTACGTTGAAAGAGAATATATTTCAACAGCCTAGACAGTACTGTTAACTCTATTATGCTGCAAACTCTTTGCAACAAAAATGTCTTTTTTATTCCAATGTGGACAGGGATATTCCTCATGGACCATCTGTGGCTATTTCTCGGCTGAGCTCATCCTTTTGGATTTGATGAAGGCCATGCCGTGTGTCCACATGTGAGTATTTAAGGCTGCTTCAGTTTCAAAAGTTTTTGCGCATACTTTGCACTTTCTGTCTGACACGGCGCCATCGGGGGATTCATCCTTGTGGCTGGGTTTGTTCTCCTGTTGGTTATCTTCCCCAGCCCCGTTTTGCTTGGAAACTGGCTGAGGTTCCTTTAACTTGTGTACGATGAAGAGGTGCCTGGACAGAGAGACGTGAGACGTGTAGCAGAGGCCACACTCCCCGCGCTGGTAGGAAGAACCATCCGATTTGTGCTGAGGGATGTGTTCGTGGAACTGCAGCAGGTTTTTGGTGGTGAAGCCACACATGGCACACTTGTGAACCTTAAAAACATTGATTTTCAGCTCTTTCAGTGGTTGAGTGATTGCTCCTCGGGGAGGCCTGAACTCCAGAACTGGTTCTTCCAACTTCCGCTTGGGACTGGGGACCTTGGTGTCTTCTTTTATTTCTGTTTCCTCCTTATTGGTGGTGTCTTTCATTTCTTTCAGGTCAGGGTCCTTGATGCCATGCATCAGCTGGACGTGCTTCTCCAGCATCAGTTGTTTGGTAAAGGTACGTCTGGAGTCTGGGCAGTGCGAGCAGGCCTACGCTTTCCTGATGCCTTTATGCTTCCTCCGGTTGTGCCGGCACAGGCTGTGGGACGAGCTGAAAGACTTGTCACACTGGCAGCAGGGGTGTTCCTTCATTTGCTTCCCGTGCTCCTTCCTCATGTGGGATAGGTACACATCTCTCTGCATGAACAGGTGGTCACACTCCCAACACGTGCACCCAGGACTGGCCACTTTCTTGATTTTTTCACAGGAGATGGAGATTTCTTTTCCAATTTCTCTTTCCCATTCATGGATTTGGTGTCCTCTTTGTTCTGATTTGCTGAATTTTGAGTTGCAGGCTTAATGCTCAAAGGCAAGTTTATACCCAAGTTTGGAGGCCCTTCAATACTTTTCAGTGTTCCATGCATAGACTTGATATGGTCCATCGTAAGTTGCTTCTGTGCATATAAAAGAGAACAGTCAGGACACTTGGAAACAGACACCTTCTGGTTTTCAAATGTGTTGGTCAAAGTGGCGATACAGCAAGGTTTGCAGGGTGAACACAGTGTCGCACATGAAACACTTTTGTATGATTTTTGGTTCTCCTATCTTGATGCCAGGATGCTGTGTGTGAGCATGGGAATATGTGCTTGGGGCAGACTTAAATGCCATTGGACAAATAGGACACCTGTAGAAGACTTCACAGTGAGAACCTTGAATGTGAGACTTCAGAGCAGCCACATCAGAGTACACAACATTGCAATGCACACATCGAAAACCAACTCTCCTCGTGTAGTGCAGACAGTTCTTGGTGACATGGGTCTGGAAGTCCACCGACCTGCAGATGGCCCTGCACTCAGGGCAGGTGTAGGGAGATTTATGCTGATGGATTCTTTGGTATGATGCATAACTGCACTGGTTAGGAAGCAGCATCTGGCAGACAGTGCAAGTCTTTTGTCTACTCATATCTGCAGCCTGCTGGAAATGTGTAGCCAGTGACGTCTCGTCCTGGAAGACTTCATTACACTCCAAACCTTTTAGACTATGTCTACGCAGTTTGGAGGGGTCTTCATCTAGGGGCATGGCTGGGGTGATGGGAGTGCTTGAAGGAGCCGATACGACTGTCCCAGTTATGCCAGACTGAATTTTTGTGACAATGTGTGTGCCGGCTCCCACAGGGCTCTGAAGAGTGGAAGTTGAAGTGGAAGTATTGCTTGATGGAGAAACTATCATTTGACCTGCTGGGACTGGTTTTAAAATTAAGTGGGAGCATTGCATTACCACCCCTTTCTCCTTATGCCCACGGGCATGGGAAAGGAGGCTGCATTTGTTGTTAAAAAACGAGGTTCTTTGTACAATGGTTGCACATTACTTTGATGCACACGCTCCATCTGCCGCAGTGCTGGGTCAGACTCTTTTCAAGTGCAAAGGAGTCCCCACACTCCAAGCACTTGTATCCACACGTTGGTAACATGATCCCTGCATTGGCGGGAGGACTGAGGTTTGGGATGTAAACAGGGACTGGATTGACACTGCTCAGCCCCTTGTTGAAAGCTTCTACAACAGAACTCTGCAAGGACAACACTACCTGGACTCGAGACACCTTTTTGGGGGGTTGCGAGGCTGCTGCATTGATTATCACCTGCTTTATTTGTTGCTGAGATTTGGTTAGCACTTGGTGGAATACAGAGGTGGCCTGGGCACCCTGAGGCAAAAGGTTAAGGTTGGCAAGGTGCACAGTCTTTGGCACAAGTTTGGCGTTGGTCAGGCTGGATGCCGGCACCATGACAGTTTGCTGCTGAATGGCATTGGCGGCTTTAATGATGGTGCTGCTGGCGCTCTGGACAGAGGCAGCAGATATGACCGTGGCTTTCACCGTGGTGGTGTTAGTGAGCTTCAAATTAATGACTTGGGATCCTGTTGTCTTCACAGCAGACACTGGGAGGAAAGCAGTAGCCACAGGCTTGATTGTGACCTGTTTGGTGGTAAGCTCTGCGGGGGAAACTGCATTGGTCATGACCGTGGACTGGAGAGGCGCCCTGAGGGGAGAGGAAAGGACGGCGGCTGATGCTGGAGATGACAGAAGGGATGTCACAGAGGCCATCACGGACACCGTCTGCTTGGAAGATTTCTTCCCAGAGTCAAGATCCATTTCTGGCAATACCCTAATCACTGTTCTCTTGATTTCCCCAGAAGACGTCTTAATGGTTTTTATGAGGACTTTGAGGATTGCTGGCGTGGACTCTGTGGGAGGTCTGCTACGCTGAGGCCTACGACTGGGGGTGTGGGCCCAGGCGGCGGCCTGTTGTTGTTTTTAATAGATAACCTTTATTAGGTTGAAAAATCTTAGTTTTCTAATACTTTAATGAGAGTTTTTATTGTTGTTGTTTTGCAGTAGGGTTTCCCTCTGTCGCCCAGCTGGAGTGCAGTGGTGCAATCTTGGCTCACTGCAGCCTCCACCTCCTGGTTTCAAGTGATCCTCCTGTTACCGGGGGTCCTTGCTCCCAGAGCTCCCAAGATGGTGGTGGGCCACTTCCAAGATGGTGGCAGGCCTCGCGTTTTATGACCTGGGGTTCTCGGCCTCACTGATTCCAAGGAATGGAATCTTGGGCCATGTGGCGAGTGTTATAGCTCTATTAGAAGCCATGGGTCACGGAAGAGAACCGTGGAAACCAGTGACTAGTGTTCAGCTCGATTAGGACGAACCCAGGCACTTAGCCATGCAGGAACAATGGCAAGCCTTTAGCCTGATTGGGAGTGGCGATGGGAACCTTGCTGGATCAGGCGCACAGTGGACACCCTGCTGGATCCGGAGGGATGGACATCAGCGGTGGGTCTGCGAGGCGAGTCTGCGACCGTGGCCAACGCAGGGGTGGATGGCAAGTGAAAGCTCAGCTCGAGCCACAACAAACATGGACCAGAAGAGTGCAGTTGCAAGATATAATAGAGTGAAAACAGAGCTCCCATACAAAGGGAGGGGACCCAAAGAGGGTAGCCATTGCTGGCTCCAGTGCCTGGGTTTATATCCCGACCATTGTCCCTCCCACTGTGCTCTCAGGCAACAGATGATTGGCTATTTCTTTACCTCCTGTTTTTGCCTAATTAGCATTTTAGTGAGCTGTCTTTACTATCTGATTGGTCGGGTGTAAGCTAAGTTGCAAGCCCCGTGTTTAAAGGTGGAAGCGGTTCCACCTTCCCAGCTAGGCTTACGGATTCTTAGTCGGCCTAGGAAATCCAGCTAGTCCTGTCTCTCACTCCCACCTCAGCCTCCCAAGTAGCTGGGACTACAGGCATGTGCCACCACATCCAGCTAATTTTTTTATTTTTTATAGAGATGGGGTTTCACTATGTTACCTGGGCTGGTCTTAACTTTCTGGGCTCAAGTGATCCTCCCACCTTGGCCTCCCAAAGTGCTGGGATTATAGGTGTGAGCCACCACACCTGATGAGAGGTTTTTTTTGTTTTTTTGTGTGTGTTTTTTTAATGTCATAAATGCCTGTTTCTGTTTTTTCACATCTCTGAAGATTATGATTTTTCTCTTTTATCCTATTAATGTCATGAGTTACACTAATTTTTTGAAATATTAGACCAACTCTGCATTCTGGGATAAGCGCCTCTCCCCCATGTCCTGCCAAGTCACATGTATTATCCTTTTTCTGTTTTACTATATTTGATTTGCTAATATTTTGTTAAGGATTTATATTAATAAGAAATACTATTAGCCTGTATTTTTCTTATAATGACTTTGTTTTTCTTATCAGGGTAATACTGGCATCATAAAATGATATGGCAAATATTCTCTCCATCTCTTGTTCTGAAAGTGTTAGTGTGATATTGGTGTTATTTTCTCCTTAAATATTTTATAAACTTCACCAGTGAAGTGATCTGTGTTGGTGTGTTCTTTGTGAAAAAACATTTTAAAACTATGATGATTTCTTTCATAGATATAGTATAACAGATTATGTCTTCTGTCATTTTTGTAATTTGCCTCTTTGAAAAAAGGGGTAATTTCATTATATCCATAAATGTATTTGCATATGTTTGTTTACATTATTCCTTTTTTTGTTTTAATGTTCATAGGACTTGTAGTTATGTCTCCTTTTAAACTTCTGATATTGGTAATTTTTTTTTTTCTTGAGCAGTCTAAAGGTTTATCGATTGTAGTATACTTTTAAAAGATACAGCTTTTGCTTTAATTGGGTTATCTCTACTATTATCCATTTTCTATTTCATTATTCTTATTCTCACCTTGATTTTATTCTTTTCTTCTGTTTATTTTCAGTTTAATCTATCCTTTCTAGTCCTCAATGAGGAAGCTTAGTGATTGCTTTTAGACCTTCCTTCTAAGCACCACTTCACCTGTTCTACAAATGCCTTTTTGTTCCCCTTTTGCAATCCTAATTGTTCTATTTGTCCCTGGAGGACACTGGGAGTTTCAGGTGTCCTACAACTGAAGCTACTTCCATTAGACTCTTCATCAGATTTTAAAAAGGGTTTGTGACCAGAAAATTTCAGACTATTTGACACCAATTAAGTATAGATTTTTAGGTTCAATTTCTTACATAATCTATCAATTGTACACTTCTATGTAGTAAGGCCTAGAGCAGTTGACTGAACATTGTGGGGGAAGAAGATGTGTGCTTCATCTTTTTAATTCTTTCTCTCCCACTTCAGGAGAATTGTTGCTGCATAAGGCCTCTCAGGTCAGTGCCATTTCCCTCCTAGTTTTCTTTATGTGAAATAGCATAAATTCTGGCTATGCCCAAGCTTGTTGGTGAGCAGAAAGTTAAACTCTCCCTTCAGACTCAGTAAGTTTGTTAGAAAAACTGATATCTGGGCCAGGCGCGGTGGCTCACGCCTATAATCCCAGCACTTTGGAAAGCCGAGGCGGGCGGATCATGAGGTCAGGAGATGGAGACCATCCTGGCTAACACAGTGAAACCCCGTCTCTACTGAAAATACAAAAAGCTAGCTGGGCGTGGTGGCGGGCGCCTGTAGACCCAGCTACTCGGGAGGCTGAGGCAGGAGAATGGCGTGAACCCTAGAGGCGGAGCTTGCAGTGAACCGAGATGGCGCCACCGCACTCCAGCCTGGGCGACAGAGCGAGACTCCGTCTCAAAAAAAAAAAAAAGAAAAACTGGTATCTGGATTTGGTTCTAGTCTAGCATAGATTAAGAAGTAGAAATATGTTGAAATGAGGATAAAGAGCATTTTAAATGATAACAGAGATCCAATATGATGAAATAGGAGTAAATTCTTTTTTGTTTCATTTTCCTCCAATTTCATTTTAAAACAGGTGATTTTTTAAAAGAAGATGGTTTTGTTCCAGTAGGCATTTGACGCATTAGCCTTCCTTGGCTTTCCCAGGAGGGATATAGACCTAGCTAAATGACCTGGTAGTGTTTTCTCTGAGTCAAGTTAGCATTAAATGTGGTCTCTGGATATGGGAAGAGATGGATAATCTAATAGTCTACAGATGTCAGAAACGTTATTCTCACCTTTTCTCTCCATATTTTAAATTTATATGTCTTTTTGAAAAACATTTAGACTACTACCTCCAATTAGGATATAGAAAGTTCCAAGAGATCATTGCTCTCACTGAAATAATGTGAGTAAGCTGGACAAGCTACAGAAGCATAGTTGTTAAAAACCCAAGCTGAGGATAAAGAAGTGAAAATAAACTAAATTCCAGAGTGCAAAGAGCCCTTGCTAGGAAAGTGAGACCCGAGGCTGCTTTCCTCATAGGGGTATGGTGGATGGAAGATTGAACCCACTATAGATGGGAAGTTTTGCAGATGCAAGGAGAAACTAGCTGAACTTTTAACAAATTTGCATGAGCTGGCAAAATGTATTAAAATCCCCTAGAGTCCCATTCTTCACTGAGAACCTGGCAGCAGCAAGAACAGGGAAGGAGAATTAAGAGAGACTTGCTCAGGGCACACCTGCCTACTAATTCTTTCTAAATGTGCACATAATTAAATAGAGAAGACATGTTTATAAAAAACAAGAAGGCCTGGGTGCAGTGGTTCATGCCTGTAATCCCAGCAATTTGGGAGGCTGAGGTGGGTGGGTCACCTGAGGTCAGGAGTTCAAGACCAGCCTGACCAACATGGTGAAACCCCGTGTCTACTAAAAATACAAAAAGTAGCCGGGCGTGGTGTTGCACACCTTTAATCCCAGCTACTTGGGAGGCTGAGGCACAAGAATTGCTAACCCGGGAGGCGAAGGTTGCAGTAAGCTGAAATCGCACCACTGCACTCCAGCCTGGGCAACAGAGTGAGACTCTGTCTCAAAAAAAAAAAAAAAAAAAAAAAAAAGGCAGGAAGATGTAATGAATAATCAAGAGAAAACAAAAACAGAATGAGGAATGACCCAGATGTTGAAATCAGCAGACAAAAACTTTAAAATAAGTATTACAACACTGTTAACATGTTCACTGGAAAAGCCAAGCAAAAGCAAAATGTGTGAACAGATTGTAAATTTCGGCAGGAAATCTGAAACTCTACGAAAGAATAAAATGGAAATTCTACTCCTGAAATGAGAAATTCATTTGAAGGACTTATCAGCAGATTGAATAGAGCACAAGAAAAGATATGTAAACTTGAAAATAGGTTAATTAAATTAATCCAAACCGACGCATAAAGAGAAAAATTAAAACTCAAGCAGCATAAATACAAAGAAAACCATACTAAAGCACATAATGGTCAAATTGCTGAAAACCAATACTAAAGAGAATATCTTAAGTGCTATCAGAGAAAAAGGGCAAATACATTTAAGAAGGTAACAATAAGAAAGAATGATGGCTGAATTCTTATTAAAAATGCAGATGACAATGTAATGGCTTCTTTAAAGAATTAAAAAAAGCATTCAAAATACATACTTCAAAAATAAAGGCAAAATAAAGACATTTGTAGACAGGGAAAAGTTGAGGAACTTAGTCCAGTAAGTAGACTTGCACTACATAAGTCTGCAAATTATAAAAATTTTAGGTTAAAAGGAAATGATACCTGATGATATGGTTTGCATCTACATCCCTACCCAAATCTCATGTTGTATTGTAATCCCTATTCTTGGAGGTGAGGCCGCCTGGTGGGAGGCGATTGTGGGCCGATTCATCATAAATAGTTTAGCACCATTCCCTTGGTGCTGTTCTTGTGATTATGAGTGAGTTCTCGTGTGATCTGGTTGTTTGGAAGTGTGTAGCACTTCCTCCGTTGGTTCTCTCTCTTGCTCCTGCTCCCTCCTTATAAGATAGCCAGCTCTGACTTTGCCTTCCACCATAAGTATAAGCTCCCTGAGGCC